AACCAAAAAAAAATAATATTTACTACTTAATATAGGTATATACTTAATAGAAACAATCTAATCTTAAATTAAACGCATTTTAATATTTTAAAATATATCTATTTAATTTCTTCATATCAACATAAAGTTATAGTAATGAATGTTCTTCTCTGAACAAATTAACAACAAGATATGTTATCTGTAATCATAAAATCAGTTATTTGATTTTTTCTAACAAATTATGAATTATGTTACCATATACTGGTAAATTATATATTTATACACTTTGTAAATTTAAATGATGAATGCATACGAAACCAGTCTTCGTTGTTGTTTTATTTAGTTAATATTTTAGCACTAAAATAAAGGAGCCTCTTTTTCGAATAAATTATAAGTATATATTTTCTCGACAAATAAAACATTATTTTGGTTGCTAATAACCAGCTGAAGTTGGCCAACAAACATATTGTATTAAATCACGGTCGATCGAGAACGTTTTGAGAATACATAATATTATTTTTGTGCGTAAAAGTTTAAAATACCAGTTATCAGCTAGTTTTCTACGTATATTTCCTACATGATGGTCCGTTTTTGATTATTATGATAATATACTTTTATAATTTTTTTATAGACTTGAAGAAACAGGAGGTAAGTAAGATCCACGTGATTAATATAATATGAACGCTTTATAGTAATTCAAACGAATATTAATGATACTATTGTAGACACAACGATCGAAAATGATTAAATTGTTGTAGAATTGTTGCTAACGCAAACTATGATGTTATACATGATTATTACGTGTCATAAAATTCAAGTATTACTTAAGCTGCATAATAATTTATTATTATTAACCATGAACTATTTTTCTGTTTCCATGACGGATCGGCAGATTCAAAATTTGACCACTCAATAACATTTAATTTAAAGTCATCACATTATAAGCTCGACGCCAACTGGCATGTTACATAATTAATCTTAATAAAAAATCTATCCATACCAATCGACCTAATCTAAGTAGATAAGTGATGTTAATGATTTGAATGTATTGAAATGTTGATATTATTATTATTAATACAGTAAGCGACTATAAAAAAAAAAATTATATTAACAGATCATTTAAATTAACATACTATTTAAATATATATATCGGTTCATTTAATACAATATTTATTTAATAAATATTTGACAATACATTATTTAATTAAGCCAAAAGAGCCTGACAAATATCTATAGTTTATACATTATCATTTGAAAATATTCAAAATAATAGTTTTGAACAATGTAATTTTTCCTAGTAATAATACATTTTAAGGCACTGCCGTGAATTGACTCATATATCAAACAATCAGCTACATCGTTTTATGCTATCGCTGAAGAAGAAATAAACAAATTTTTCCTTTTAGTAATTTTCGATAACTATTTATGTTATTTTTTAAAAAAAAAAAAAATGTTGTACTTACTCATTGTCCATGTATATTTATATATAAATTATCGTAGAAATACTTAATGGTAAGATTATGTAAGATTTTGGTATGAAATATTCTCTGTATCTTTGTTTAATTATTATTTTTAACCGTGATCAATTATTATTTGCTACAACTTTCACAATCTAAATGTCTAATAGAAACGATTATATTACTATAATCGTTACATAAAAGAAGTCGATTGGTTTGATAAAAAACGAGATGTACGAGTTTCGGCGGGTCTCTGCATATATATATATATTATAATTTATAAACGTATTTTGTATTTAGATGGGTATGCGAAATATTAATATCCTTGGCTGACATAATTGGCAATGTGGTTTGTTTTTTTTTACGTGTTAAATATGCAACAATATAATATACTATAACGTGTTTGATCAAGATAAAACGTTTAATTTTATGAGTGTCCCTAAGGACTTTCGGAAGTTTACAAGGGTGTCACAATTAAAGCGGTTGGCGCAAAAATATACGAAACCCATTATTATTGGCGCAAAATTATTAATGACATTTGATCCGTATTCATTTGCCGTTTATGCGTATTCAGTTTTTTATCCATTTATGTTGCATAAAAATTAAAAAAACATTAACGTGTGACATATATAATTACTATAAGTATCAAGTAAGTATACCGATGACGCTAACCGTTTTCGTAAAAATTTTCGTAAGACGAGCGGAATTTTTTCTGAAACACTTCAAGTGCAAGTGTATCGTTAATTATACATTTTGTAAAAACTTAATTTTGCAACAAAACTGCGCATTCATTAATAATTCAAAGGTTAAAGGCGAGTGGCAAAATCACAACTTTTTGCGTACTACGACTGTAGTAGAAAATACATTTTAAAGTTTCTTTTCAACGACACTGACGACGACAATGGGTAAGTATTGAAAAAAACGGAAAAATATATACACAACCGATTGTAAATATACCTACATGATACGCATACGGTAACAGAGTATACGACAATTTGTCAGTCACCCTTTTTTATTGTCGTTAATACAGCAGATTATATACGCACGATGAATATATATTTTTCTAGATCGTATTCTAACAGCAGTATTTACATTTTATAAGCTATGAACATATGTTGTTTAAGCATATTAAACGTGAAACGACAATGACATTATGAAAAACCGCACTCAGGTGTGCTGATAACAACTGTTGAAAGGGTAATAGCGCTTGTACATACTATGGGTAAAGCGCTCTCATCATTACATTGGGAGAGAATCGAAACAAAACAAAAAAAAAAAAACACGGAAATACAGTTAGTTTTAACCAAAAATCACCTGAACCGCGGCATGTACTTATGCAGACGATTTGGTGTGTAAAATGCGTCGTATACGACGTGGTCGTGGGAACTTTACTTTCGTAAACGCGATTAGGCGATTATAATTCGTCGTCACTGGTATTCCGCGGTATTTCGGTATTTCGCTGCGGAAAGATTTATCCTCGACTGGAGACGACCAGCGAACACAATATATCGTCCGAGGAATAATAACAATATCGTTGTATTATTATCAAAGTAAGTTTATTTATCATTCTTTTTATCCAAAGTTTTACGATTGTTGCACAATATGGTACGTACACTTACGGATAATTTAAATGTCTCTCTATACGCAAGGCATGAATGATAATATTGAATTATTGTTATTATTATTATTATTTTTTTTTTTTTTGTAAAACATGTGTAACGACGTAAAGTTCTACGCGTAACCGAAGCGCTGCCGTTCGTTATTGGATTGTATTACATGGCATATAATTTTTGTTTATGGAGATGGACAATGCATCATTGTCGTACGCTATGCCATAGCCAGACGAAATCGGTACACACAAGATTATAATATATACACATTATATGGGTAATCCGTATGCGTGTCCCCTCGATGTGTCCAAAAGCTCGCGAGTAACAAACAGATGGTTTTTAATATTATTCACCATCGACATTATTCATGACACATACACGCTGTATTCAGTGGCCCAAATGGGTGTTAAGGGGCACCGGTGTGAACAATTTCATGTGCCCTGGTCCCCTTCCAAGATATTATAATCGTGGAAAAAATGTATGCACACAACTGTGTTTCCATAGTAAAAACCGCGTTGTTGAACTTGTTTTCATCACATAATTAGTTATTAACACTATATTTACCACGTAAAACAATCGAGGCGGGATTCCATACGAAAGAGATAAAATTACCGTAATTTTTTTTCTCCAAATCCACCCAAACCAAGTTTGTTTCATCTCGTCTCGAGTACATCTCCGGAAAATCGAGTACATCTCCTAACGATATCGTCGTATAATATGCGCTCGACAGTCGAATGCAATCATCGTTGTTTTTGATTTACCTATTAGGTTTCAACGTTTACCGCCTTCTCTCTGTCCGGTTCGCTCTCTTTGCACTTCTACGAGTTTAGGGGCCCCTTTATTTTCTAAACGGGGTCCCCTCGCTACAGTCAGCGATCGCAGTAACAGCGCAGCGTTTGAACGCGATTAAACGCGGTCGGCTCGCGATACTCTTGTACTCTTGCGATCATAATATTTTACGTTTACGCGAGCGTATGTATCGTGTGCGTTTGCGATTAGTCGGGAAACACTATTCGCGATACTACGTGTTACTACCTAACGTCGTTTCTTTCAGTCGTAAATATATTTCTCCTCGTGTTGTGGTATAATATATCTGGTGTATCGTTAAAAATACTTCACGGTCGGGGTCGTACGGAGTCGTTCACGGTACCGTGTACTAATCGAAAAATTTAGTAGGTTTTTACGCGGGTTCGAATTTAAAAGGTACAACGATTAAAAATAAATAAATATATAAAATTACGGTAAACGAGAATATCGTCTTTTAGCGACCTAACCTAATATAATCTGTAATATTGTAGTACTATACATTACGATTTCGAAATGCATTCCGTGGAGTATACGGTACAGTCGTGCTATACATTTTCAAAATCACCGATCGAAATAAAAAGTACGATGATTCGCTTTTTATAAATGTAATTAATTATTGTAATTCTTTTAATCGCCATAGAAAAACATATCATAAGAAAATAAAACTTTTAACGCGCACATGCGGTTCAACGAACATTAGTTAATTACTTGATAAATGGGGGGCTTTTTTAAGTCGAAGACGAGGAAACGCTTTGAGTCATCAATTCCTCCCCTGGACCCTGACTACGAGACGATATCATAAGTCACACGCGTTCCGTATACACAAGCGATTCTTAACGTTTTTTGATTTCCGGACCGCTTTAAGATACGTGTAGTCACGGATCCCTTTCAAAAAAGGAAAAATAAATCTTTGATTCAAGTTTTACCAATGTTTTATTGGTGTTAATGATTTTATAAAATATAACTTGTTGGTACAAGAACCTATTATACCCGATGGTTTTGTATGATTCGATTTTTGTATAATTTGGCAGAGTCACTGCTCGCGGACAACCCTCTAAGGGTTCCCGGACACTAGTAAAAAACCTCGGGGTACACGCGGCACTACGTTTTACGGTTTAATTTTAGTATACACGCGCAGGTACTTTACCTCATTTGACGTGGATTACACACGCTTGTCGTCCGGGCGATTCCAAATATCTTAGAGCCGCGAGCTGTTGCGAGATCTCGGAACACAAATACGAAAAAAAAAAATAACCTGACGGCAAAGAACACGCGTCTACGAAACGGTCGCTAAACGTACGAGTGTGCGATTATGCGTGCACAACAGATACGGTATTATTATAACTATTATTATGGGTTTAAAAATCGTTTTCGCGCGCAAACATTATTATTATTATTGTTTTTTATTTTTTTAAACACTGTTGTCGCCGAAACGGACGTTGTACGCGACACGGACGACGGAAATATGTTCGGTCGCGGAGAAAACGTGAAAAAAAAAATTAAACAAATAAATAAAGAACAAAAAGAACGAACAAAACGTAACGAAAGCACTGTTTTTGCGACGGGATCGGCCGCGTTATTTATTTTCCATCGGTTTTCAACTCGATTATTTTTATTTTCGCGGCAGCGTGCGCGCGTATTCGCTACTGGCGAAAGCGGCGTCGGCCCGCGGAGAAACGTCTGTTCGAGCGCACGCCACGTGCGTCGTACTGACAATAGAGCGCCGCGGCCGGAATCCTGTACGGACCATCGTCTTCGGGCACTGACTCCACGCGGCGGCGGCGGCGGCCGTGGGTCCGCCTTTTTTTTTCCTCTACGTTTTCGCGACCGCGTCGTCGTCGCGTCGTCCTCGCGCGCCGCCGCCGCTCAACTCCTCCGTCGCGGCCGACTTTTCCACGTGCCTTCTCCGCGTCTTAGGGGGTGGGGAAATGTTTTCAATTTTTTTTTCAATCACTGCCCCGACTTTATCGTTTTCGTCCGACACCCCCCCCCCACAACGTGGAAAAACGGTAGAAATGTTCAACCGAAAACAATACGACCGCCGAACTTGTTCCGTCGAGTTGATTCGAAACACGTTCGTACGTCGGCCAGCCGCGGCCCCTTGGGCTGTGTTTCGTACACGTACTCGTTGCGTAAATCGCCGATTTACGAATCGAAAGATTGTCTTGATTCGCCGCTGAACGAGTACGTAAGTGATCATGAATTGAAAATTTAACCATGTCAAAATCGACTCGGTAATATATTAAAGTTTGACGTCTGAACAGCAATAGCGTAGAACGTTTTCAGTAGGCAACGAAAGAAATATTTATTTTTTTATCTTTGTATTTATTGATTTATTGTTTCGAAAAGAAAAATACATAACGGTTACGTACATTAATTAATATAAATAAAATAGTAATGATAAAATAATTAATTTGTAAAAAATTCAATGAAATTAACTTCAAATTAAATTAAACTAAATTAACTAATCAAATTAACACACTAGAATAAACTATACAATATTTCTGTACGAAAATCACAAACTTTAAATTTAAATTTGAGCATTAAAATAATAAATTAATGAAGAAAAAAATTGATTAAAAGTTGGTTTAACGATTCTACTGAATTTTAAAAACTTTTAGATTTTTCCAGAAGTTTATAAGTTATTTTATTAATTATAGATTTTATAGAAATTCGTGTAAATACACAAATCATAATTAAAATAATTTTCAATATTAAAAAAGTATTTAACAACTTATAATAACATATGCAACTACCGTGAAATTATGACTATAATAATTATATTTATAATTATATTTTGTATGGTAAAAAATTATTTTTTACCATACAAAAACAATAAAAATGTTTTACAAACAGTTTATATTATAATGAGACATATTATATTATAATAAATTTATTTTATAATACTTTTGATTAAATAGCAAATTCAAGATTAATTAGAAAAATTACTGAACTAATACTGCATGAAGTTCTTCCCCCATACATTTGAGCCTATTAAAACAAATAATAAATTTTAAAATTACAAAATATTATCAGTATAAATATTGACATGGTGCAAATAGGATTTTTTTACGGTTAATTAAATTATACTGTGTAACAGAAGCGTTCCTATTTTTTAGTATTTAAAATGATTTTTATAACTATTTTAAAATATTATTCAAATGCTCACCACTATGTTAGTAGTGTTTAAATGATTAGCATTGAGTTTTTATTATGCAAATAAATTTTAATTTTTGAATATTTTTTGAAAATAGTTTCTAAAATGACAGGTTAATACAGATCTTAGAATTGTATATAAAAAATACTCGGAATACTTTCCGACACAATTAAAAAATGACTACGATTATTTTGTTAATAATATGACGTTTCCTATAATATTATGTTATAAATATATGTATTACCTATAGCATACTGTTATACAGTTATTTATTAATTGATGCAATAATTTACATAGATTAATGTTAAAATTATTAAAACTCCGATAAATACTTTTTGATTGACCTATAGATATTTGTAATATTAAAATATATATATACATACATATTTTTTTCAACTTAAACCATTTTTAATTGGGATAATTACATTTGACAGGTCCAAAATCTACCAAAAATTCATTTAGGTGTAATTGATTAGGTTGCAAAATATATTTTTGAGTAAATATAATAGTAAATACAAGTTTAACGAATTTTTATAGTGGCGAATGCGTCTGTGGAGCTGTGGAGGATTTATTTCTAGTAAATTACTCGTAAAACCCCTCAATTTAGTTAATCGTATTTCTAGAAGATATAGTGAATATAAGATATAGAAGTTTAACTACAGTTCAACTGTAGGTCTCCAAAGATTTCAGAGTTGCTTGTGACACTATAAAAAAAACTAATATTTAAAATGCAATTACTGCACGGAGCCTGGATTCACGTTTATGATTTAGTTTTTTTTACGTATACCTATCAACCAATAACATATTCAATGATTGTTTTTAAATATTTCACGCACAAGTCTTCATTGATATATGTAATGTACGACGATAAAATACAATAAATGTGCGCGGTAGTAGAACACCCAATGCCAAATGTACAAACAATATAAAGTAGTAAAACACATCGTCATCGTTGGGGATATGTTGATATTATTCAATTTATAATTTATGTATATACGTTGGTAAAATAAATTTTACGCATGTATCCATGACACAAAGGCTTTAGTAATCGGTAGTCTGTGTGTAATGCAAAATGTTTTTCGAATTTGTATTACATATATTCATTTAGTACTATATTAGTACTATATATTTTTTTTTGTGTGCATGATTCGATATTTGATTTCAAATTATGTATACAAATTCAGATATTGGTGGTTTATTTTTTTATTTTATATTTACATAATTTAACTTTTGTTTACGACATTTTGAAATTATACACGAATACAGAACTATTGCATGCCTTTTGAGTAGGTAGCAAACTGATAATAACACAGATACTGTAAACATTTTATACATCCCAATTTGGACTATAGTATATTATAAATGGTTAATTAAAGTGGTGATTTGAATATTAGTTAATTTTATGAACTTTTTAATAATAAAATATTTTTCTTTTACCACGCACATTTTTCGAAGTAAAACAAAACAAATATCATTATATCCTACGTTATTATTTCGTATATAAAATACTTAGTAGAATCGCACACCTACGCCTAAAAGTTAATAATTTATTATAATGTTGACAGTTTAAATATTTATTAGTATTCGTATATTCTGGTAATTTCGTATGCTTCGTATATATTTCTCGTACTGGTAAGTGCACACCAAATTATCAATGCTAAATTATGTAAAATATTGTGGGACTAATCTGAACAGTAATACTAATTTAGATGATTTTTTAGTTTTTGAATGAAAAAAAAAATTATTTTAAATTTATTTTAAAACCGTGGAAGGTTCAATCATAATCAAGTGGGTGCATCATTAAATATTTGTTTGTATTTGATATATTAAAAAACAAATATAAACGGGGTTTAGCTTTCCGATATTGCTCATTTAGTAATTTTTAAAAAGAAAATGTAGCACATATAAAACTGTATAAATACAATACCTCGTAGTCAAGATAAAATCATAAAAATTAAATAAGTATAAGTATATTAGCAGAAGCAGGGCGATCTATGGAGGCTATATATGTAAGTTCTTTCTTAGGTCTTAGGTAATTAAAATATTTCAATGATTATCTTCATTTCTAATTTATTAATCAAAGTAAAGAGGAGCAATACTTTACTTCTATACTTATAATATATTATATTTATTGCTTATTGACATTTAAAAGTGATTGATAATCGTGATTATTTAGCCCCAATAGTTCCAACCTAAAAGGATATAAGTAAAGTAGATTAGTCAAATTAATTTTATAATAAATTGTGATATTTTTTTAAGTAGGTACTAAATATTTTCCACTTTTGTCTATATTATACATTATATAATATATGCAATAAAAGGTAATTTTTTTATTAAAGTTTTTATTATTATTTTATAATATACATGAATGATAATTACTTCATTCACTTTGAAAAAGTTAACATAAATTAATGGTTGAGACACATATATTTATAATATAAGTTTCTAAATAAAATAAACTTAAACCTACATTAATGTAAGTATGTAGTTAATTGAAGTACATTTTTTCATCCAGCCTCCCCTTTTTTCATTTCTAGATATGAATTTGTTTATAATTATATGTTAAATATATATATGATGTGCAGAAAACACTTAATTTTTTAACTTAATTTAGAGAATGTGTTTGTTGATAAATGTACAGAGAGCGTATAGAAAGTTTGGAAACTCTAAATTTGCAACGGTGATCAAAAAATGTCATATAACATTCTGTATACAGGTGCGTACTGGCCCACCGGGATACAGGGAAAATTCCGGTAGGTCCTCTCAAAAGACCTAGGCCCCTTACCAAATAAGTACCTGTAGTTTCAGTTAAATTCAGTAATTTTATTATTTTTAACAATTAAAATACAATACGGATGAACAGTCGACTTCTTGATTTAGTACCCAATGAGAAATGAGTAAAACACACAATTTTTGAATAATTTAATTGATTTGCTTTTGGTAAATATGTCTGTTACCATTATTTCGATTATTAAAATTATTCGATTATTCCCTTCACTAGTTATAACATCACTAACAGGATCGATAAGTAATGTTGCTGAAGTTTGACGGAAAAAATGATCTGTATCAGCTCGGGAATACAGTAAATTTAAATATATTGCAATTTCTTTGGGCATATTTACAATTTTGTTTTTTCCAATAACCTGCTTGATGCATTAACCGTTTTTATAACTAAAAAATAAAATCTATCTGACGTTACAATTGTGAGTCATAATTTCATGTATTTCTTAAACATATCATATAACTCCCCTTTAATAGTAAATTATCGTGAACAATTTGTTTTTGAGTAGAGAAATTTAATGTGTAATATATATTTCACAAATTAATACCTATTACATATATCGTAATAAATGAACGGAGAATGAATAGCCAATGTATACAAAACAATTTTGTCTCACCTACCTTTTTTCTAAATATTGAACATCAGAAGCTTCTTCAACTTTTTAAATAAGTTGAAGCCAAAACTTTGGAATTTTTACTTTTAATCCACTCAATTTTCTCTTTAAAAAAACTTTTGATTTTAAATAAATACCAACGACTAATTAATTAATTATTATTTTTCATATTTTCCATGCTTTTAAGCATTAAA